AATGGAATACTACTCAGCCATAAAGAATGAGAAACTAGAGACATTTATAGCTAAGTGGATGCACATTGAGGTCATACTCTTAAATAAAATAAATAGGACACACATGTGTAAATACCAAATAGTTTCTCTGGTGTGAGAAACAAAAAGTGCAAATAAGAAACAAAATGTATAATTGATATTGTGAAATAGGAAGAAAAGATCTAAAAGAGTAGGGAAAGTGGGAGGGGTAGGGGAAAGGACAGAAGGGAAAAGAAAAAATATGAGAAAAGGGAAAAAATGGAAACAAAGTCTTTGTAAATAGGAAAGGGCTGGAGGGGGTGAAGGGAGGGCAGGGGAATGGAGAAAAAATAAGAACCAAGATACATCATGTAAAAGTAGGTACAAGATCCCAATGATGAATGTAACTGTATTGTATGCCTAAAATGTACCAAGAAATTTAATGGAAAAATAAATAAATAAAATGAAATGGTCCTAACAAGTAGAAACAGTGTCTTTTTCAGAGCAAACAGTAAGTTTGCTTACAATCTTGGAAGACATAGTGTCTTCCTTGAGAACAAAAGTCTAACACACTTACTGCTTGAGTTCCTGAGGTCAGTGTCCCTCTCCTATAATGTGATCCACCTGGGCCCATTTGCATCTTCCTGTAAAAGCTGGAGGGAAGAGGAGCTCAGGCAAGTATGCTGGTGCTCATGCTACTTGCTATGCCATGAGTAATAGTTATTTGTTTCTGACTCTAGAATCCTTTACCTTTCACCACCTTCTATAAAATTGCAAAAGACTACATTATTAACTTGTTGGTATAGCAAAATTATAAAATGGAGCAAGGAAAATGTACAGTAAACTTTTCATCAGAAATCACACACAACATGTAGAGGAGGCTTCTGGGTTGGCGTGCCATGGCTCCCAGCCCAGAGCAGACTTCCAGATTGGTGTGACATGGCTCCCAGGCAGGAGGAAGCTTCCAGGTAGGCATACCATGGCTCCCAGCATAAAGGAGGTTTCCAGGTAGGTGTGACACAGCTCCCAGCATGGAGGAGGTGAGCCATGCAGGTGCCAGGAACACACACACCACACCACCACTACCATCCCACATCAAAATGAGAAGACAGGTAAACAAGCCATAGAACCAGACTTCCAGATCACCTACAGGAACCCAAAAGGGAAATGAGATGGAACACTCTGATACTCAACCACCTGGACTCCCTGAACTAGCAATGAAAGATGATCTGGAAAAAAAAATCAAATCAGACATAATTTCTCACATAACAGCAAAGATTGTGCCCATAGTGCAAGACATGATTAATAAATCTACAGAGGAGCTGAGGAACATGATGGAATGCCAACATAGGAAACAAATTGAATCCATAAAACAGATGCAAAGAGATTTCCAGGAGATTAAAAACTCCATTTAAAGTCTATGCAGCAGAATGAGCCAATGTGAAGACAGAATTTCAGATATAGAAGATAAGATTGCAATTAGTGACCAGGAAAAGAAAAATTGCTTTA